GAATCACCTAGTGAATATTTTATCATTTTATGAAGGACTTTGTGTAGCTATGTCCACATAATGCTGTTCCTAGGTGAATAAACAGATCTGTGTGTGAAAGCACTTTGGAATGATGATCACCAAATAAAGCAAACATGTACTGGAATATAAGCAGGAGAGCATGATGTATAAATAGGAATATAAGCAAGAGAGCTAATATCTACAGTGTAATCATGCATGTTTACTTAGAAGACTCATCATTTTAATGGGGCTTCCTCCCTATTAAAAAAAATGTTTCATATTACAACCTTCATTTTGAAATGAATGCCCTGCTGTAAATGGAAGAAATGTTTAATTTTCAAGGATCTCAAATATCCCAAATGTTGATCCTCTATGACAGGGATCCAAAATCTCTGTCTGGGGACTGGTACCATTCTGCAGCCTGTTGGGACCCGGATTGCCCAAGCAGCTGGCAAGTGCAAGAAGCTCCATTTGCGCATCTGCAGGATTAGGTTGTGTGCATGAAACCATTCCCTCCCACTCACCATCGCTGCTGCCTGCTGCTGCCACCAGCGCCGGTCCATGGAGCCAGAAAGTTTGGAGGACCATGCTCTATGGTAATGAAAATATTATGAAATAATATGGTGGTGCAGTGGTTAGAATGCAGTATTGCAGGCTAATTATGCCAATTGTCAGCAGTTCAATTCTCACCAGATCAAGGTTTTCTCAGCCTTCCATCCTTCCAAGGTCGGTGAAATGAGGAGCCAAATTGTTGGGGGCAATATGCTGAATCTGTAAACTGCTTAGAGAGGGCTGTAAAGCACTGTGAACTGGTACATAAGTCTAAGTGCTATTGCTATTAATAGAGTAAAGAAAGTATAGCTAAAAATTGTAGAATGGGAGTGTCCGTTTTGAAAAGAAGAAAACAGGCTTCCAAAAAACCATAAAATAATAAATTCTATCAAATCCCTCTCCAGAACATTCCAGACCTGCTTATCCGTGCTTTGTCTTTCCACTCCTACTATAGGGTTTTTTTTTAATGATTCCTATTCAGTAAGATAAAGCTGTCAAAGACGACAACCAGATCAAACATAGGTAAATTTGTTACAGCGACTAGGAGTCTTTGTGATGTGCCAATGATGTAGTAAAAATGGAAAGTCGTACTTCCCCCTATCCTCCCCTCCGCCCGCTTTGGTCAGCATGAAGACACAGATGGATGACTATACTGAAGGCAGTATTGGTGATTTTATTGATGAGGCTCTCAAATCATCCCTAAACCAAAAGAAGCTGTTCACTTCCCAGTTGGAGTCAAAACAAACTGATTACCATTGTCTCAACCTTTACTGATGATGAATGAGGTGATTCAGGTCCCTGACCCAAATTTGGAGTTACTCTTGTGACCCAGCCCCCCAAAAATCTTTGAGAAGGAGGCAAGACTCTCTAACAAAGCCTGTCTCCATCCTCACCATATCTAATTAAACAATCAATATTATTTAAAAAAGAGAGAGAACATTTAAATGTCTTCAAAATAGCAAGTTTCAGTTACTTTATCCCCATACCCATTACTTAAATCACACTGTTTTGAACACAGACTAAGCTATAATAAAACTCCATCTCAGCAGACTGCAGGGGGGGGGAATGTCAGAGGAGCTTAATACTGCACCAGATTGGTATAAAGAACAGCAAATAGTTACTGGGTAATTTTAATTAGTCTCTTGAGAGTGCTAAGCTTTTATTAGCAGAATATGGAATTAAAACAGGGCCATGAACAGTGGTGTGAAGAAAGGTGGAAGCCAAGAGTGAAGAATTTAAGACCAAATCAGATGGATGATCAGAAAATCCACAACCACTCAAATAAATCTTACCTAGTCAAGATCCAGCTTAAAAAGAAAGTCTATCATTTTCCTTTCTTGCTAAAAGGAGCCATTGGTCGACTCTAGGGCAGCTATAATCACTTTCTTGGTATTTCCAATGGAGGTGTTGTTTATCCAATTCACAGGATGCATTAATATTTTGAGTAGAGATACTCTCACATTCATATGTTTTACCTGTTGCTAATTTCTGATAGCTTTAATATAACTTTTTCATTCTATATGCCAAGTCCATTTATAACCCGGATTGGTCCTGGATTGAGATCCTGATCTCTTATACTATTTGTGAGACCGCCTTCTGCCGCCAATAGCTTCCCACCGACCAGTACGCTCCCACAGAGAGGGACTCCTCAGGGTGCCGTCAGCCAGGCAATGTCAGCTGGCGACCGCCAGGGGGAGGGACTTCTCTGTGGCAGCACTTCCCTCTGGAACAATTTGCCCCCGTAGATACGAAGGATACCAGATCTCCGGGCCTTTCGCCGTGCCCTAAAAACTTTTCTTTTCCATCAAGCAGGGCTGGCATGAATCCCCCCCACCTTTTTAGCTCTTTTTTAGTTCTTTTTAGCTTTTTAAGTGTAAATTGGGTTTTAATTGGATTGTTTTAAATTGTGGGCCAAAGCTGTATAATTCTTTTAATTGATTTTAAATTTTGTATTGGTATGTTTTTTATCCTTGGCTGTGCACCACCCTGAGTCCAATAGGAGAAGGGCGGTATATAAATTGAATAAATAATAAATAAATAAATAAATAAATAAATAATAATAATAATAATAATAATAATAATAATAATAATAATAATAATAATAATACTTACCAAGGCTGAACAGGCCATTATGTGTGTGAACAATATGTGCCTAGGACTTTGTTTTGGGTCTGAACTTCACCTTCTCTTTATATCCTTTTCTATCTTCACTGATATTACCAAAGCAGTATTTATTTTTAACCAGTGTCATTTAAACATACACTGTGTGGGTACTGGAGTTGGGAGATGGAGAGATAGGCCTTATATAAATGCTTTGTGAGCATGCAAACAAAGACTCAGTCTGTAGAGCAAGCTGTTTCTACCCCAGTAAAGCCAACCAAAGACGCCAATACAGATGATCAGCATGATATGAAACTGTTTCAATTACACTGTGTTGGAAGGAAAATCCATCTGGTTCAGTTCCAAGCTGGGAGAAAGAAACTGGAAACATGAAGGCTGATTGGAAAGATGGTTTATTGATGAAGCAGAACCACATGTGATTCTGGGCATCTGACAAAATGAAGTTGAGAGTAGGAGGGTTTTATACCTTCTTCGGGCTTTGTATTTGAGCTTCCTGTTCCTGTGCAAGAATATGTCCTTTAATATTCTATTGGCTGTTGTCAGATTCCTATGGGGTCATGTAGGGCTTATGTAGGGGTCATAGCTGGCTCTATAGGCAAAAGAGGTGCTTGTCTGAGCTAATCTGATTTATTGTTTATATGAACTCCCAGGTAAAGTTTGGACTGCAATGAAGGGGCTTGTGTTCTGAAAGGGTATTGGGCAATTCCTATTGTGGCCAATGTTTTCATCCTGTGTTGGATCTTGGGTGAGGGGCTGCTTCCAATCCTACCATTCCACCTTTGTTTCAAAATATCCTGTCTTGAATGGACCAAATCTGCATTTCTAAAAGCTGGCCTCTTCAGATTCTGCTTGGGGGCAGGGAGACAGGGCTGGTTTAAGGGCAGTTTCTCCAATTCCCCCTTTGAGGAAATATATCTTGCCTTTTTAATATTCCTCAAAATATTTCATTCTTCTGCGGGGGGGGAGGCTTCCCACAACTGGAATAGTCATCTTTAGCAATATCCCTGCTCTTTGTGTGTGTGTGTGTGTGTGTGTGTGTGTGTGTGTGTGTGTGTGAGAGAGAGAGAGAGAGAGCATGTGTGTGTGTGTGTGTTTAGGTACCTGGCTAACTCCCACCCCCATGCATTTACACCCTTTTTAAATAGTATGGTGGCTCTATTAGAGACAGAGAAGCCACAGACAAATTGAAGAGACTTGGTTAGGTTTGCAAGGTAGTCCAGACAAGCACAACCAGAAGCACTAACTGTAAGTTACATTACCAGAGTCATGCAAAATTGAAAGTATGTCTCCCCTCCCCTCCCCTCCTGTTACTCTACTCTACTCTACTCTAGAGCAGGAGTCACCAACTTTTCAGCCCTCAGGGACCACATAATTCATTAATGGACCACTAATATGATTTTTTTAAAAAAAGATAAATAGTATTCAGTGCAATATAAAAAAATGCAAATAATTTTTTTGCGGACCACCCAAAATTTCTCACAGACCACCAGTGGTCCATGGGCCACTGGTTGGTGACCACTGCTCTAGAAAGAGTCCCTTCTGAAGTGCATCCCTAGTTCTGTGAGCTAAGAAATCTTTTACATGACAGTCTGTAGCTCTCTTTTCTGTCTCCCAAGGTCATTCCTATATACAATGATATCAATGGATCCTTCATCCATTCTTCCCCTGTCACTTGCTTCATGTAGGAAGGAGAGAATGTAACAGAGGTTTTGTAACTGAATTTGGGTTCCCATTTTATGGGCTGGTACCCAGAAGAGAGACTTAATTTATTGTTTAACCTGTGAGTGTTTAGGGTTAAAATTGATTCTTTCCTACCCTAATATTATCCTGGACCTAGTTATTTAAACTAGGTCAAGCAGAATCAAATTGCATAAATAAGGTACGTCCATCTAATCATGAACCTGTGCACAGACCATAAAAGATATAACTGACAATTTTTGATGACTTACATGCAGGAATCGTTATTCTTTTATTGCCTTTAATGTGGCATTTTGTGCTTGACAGTACCTGCCAGATGATACATAATAGAATTTAATAAATACAAAGCTTAATTTCATTCACTTAGCCAGTCATTTCGTGTTCATTTTAAACTCTTATTGCTACCGGAGATATTGAAATCTAAGTTCAGGTCAAAACTTTATTTAAAATCTGTCAAATCTCTCTTTATTCCCTCCCTCCCAAGGAAACATTTTAGTGTTACTGTTGTGTTTTCATTTATAGTAAATATTTGTGAATTACATTTCTCCAACAGCTACAGAACCTTTAGGACCATGATTAAGTAAAAGTACCTCTTTATGTCAATGCTTAAGAGTTGATCAGCAATATCCAGTCTATAAATTGGTGAAGATCTGTTGTAAATAATACTTGATTACTTTCATTGGCACGTTCTGCTGGGATGATCTTTTATCAAGGCCATTGTTGACATGGGAAATGTTCTAGGGGAGCTCAGAAGAGGATGATAGAGATTCAATCCATGAAAACATAATAGGCAGAAGACAATTTTTCCAAGATTACATTCCATAAAAGTGAATCAGAGACATCTGTTCAATCCAGTGTAGATAAACAGCAAACTATTTTCCATCTCATTAACTCAGAGGATGAGCTATCAGACATACCCTAGGGACTTCGTGCTTTGTTATCACATTGAAGGCACTTCCCAGACTCATTGCATTATGCAGTTCTAGGCATAGCCAAAGCTTAAGGCTGCAATTAAACCATTTATATTCTAAGGTAGCCTAAAATAAGAAGTCTTCAACTTAATCTGTGTCTCTAATTACTAGTCACTTAGTTTAAATTATTTAACATGTCCTCAACAGTGATGTATGGCACATGTAAATCTCTAAACAGGGCCCTAATAGAATTATCTAATTCTATTAAACTGCAAACAAGTGCCCATTAAATATTTATTAGGAAGACTGCATTCACTTAAGATAGATTGGATCATCAGCAAAACACTTACCGGTAGCTAACCTACACTTCTCTTCATTCTTACTAACAGAGGATTCAGAATGAGCTAATCAGAATTAAGTTTATTGATTAACTACCAGTTATATTTAGGGGGGGGGAGGTAATCAAAAAGAAAAAGATTCTAAAAGTACTGACAGAGCACCTTATTGATTTTGTTAAAAACATAAAAAAATATCCATTGTTTAAATGAGAAAGGTTTCTACAGATCATTGTACATATTATGAGAAGCACTTACGTAGCTGTTTCTATTCCTGAGCAAACTGGAGATGATTAAGTTACTATATTTTTAAAACTGTGGCTATCAGCTATAAGGGGATTTTCAATCCATAAAAAAATAGCGGTTATTTCTTTCCTCTTTCACCCTGCCACCATTATAGCCCAGTTAACAGAACAATTAAGCTTACAGAGCAGATAATGCAAAAACTAAGATGAAATGAGATTATTTTCTTTTTCTTAATTTTGGATCTAGACCACTATTTTCAGACTCGGAGAGAAAGGAAAAGGGTCTACAGGTAGGCCTTGACTTACAACCACAATTGAGCCCAACATTTCTGTTGTTAAGTGAGACATTTGTTCAGTGAGTTTTGTTCCATTTTACGACTTTTCTTGCCACAGTTGTTTAGCGAATCACTGCAGTCAATAAGTTAGTAACCTGGTTCTTAAGTGAATCTGGTTTCCCCATTGACTTTGCTTGTCAGAAGGTCGCAAAAGGTGATCACATGACCCTGGGACACAGCAAAGGTCATAAATATGAATCAGTTGCCAAGCATCTGAATTTTAATCACATGATCGTGGAGATGCTACAAAGGTTGTAAGTATGAAAAACAGTCATAAATCCCATTTTTCAGTGTTGTTGTAACTTTGAACATCACTAAATGAACTGTTGTAAGTTGAGCACTACCTGTATGTGTGTGTATGTGTGTAAAAGATCTTTGAATCTGAGGTTAACAAATTGATTCTAATTATAATAATTTGGAAGTAAATGTCTCCTATTTGGTTCTTGCTTCTTTTCTTATTTTGTCTCTCCTCTTAACTTGACATATGGATGACTTGCTACAAGTCAAGTTATATAACCTTTGGTCTGTACCCCATTTAAGTCTTTATAAGTCTATCATGCCTCTATCTCACTTCTACCCTGTTTCCCCGAAAATAAGACCTTCCCAGATAATAAGCCCAATCGGGCTTTTGAGTGCATGCGCTAAAATAAGACACCCTCCCAAAATAAGACCTCCCCCAAAATAAGACCTCCCTGAAAATATTTAAATGCATATGCATCCGGTCCCCCCCATTTCCTCTGATTAGGGTTAGGGAGACAGAGCTGGAAATCAGGTACGATGGCAAGAGGAGTTCCATCTTGCTACATGCGCCCCAAAATAATAAAACCTCCTCGAAAATAAGACCAAGTGCTTATTTCGGGATTCAAAAAAATATAGACAAGGTCTTATTTTCGGGGAAGCACTGTAGCTATTTGTGAAATAATAATTTCTCTTTCATATTCTTAAAGCATTTAAATATGAAATGTGGATATACGCTTCCTCGGCCCTTTCTTGGATCCCAAATCTCTCCATAGAAATAATCAAAGAGCTGCTAGTTTTCTTCAGTTGCTTCTCTTGTATATATTTCTAAACACGTAATAAGTAGCACATTCACTTCAATCACTTCAGTCGCTGGTTAATATGTATTGCTATTCCTGAACTACCTACAGTATTCCAATTCCTGATATAGCATACTATGACTTTTTCTTCAATCTGGAACCCCCTCCAATCATGGCAAATAGGATAGTCTGCATTTCTGCAACTAGCGCCATTCTGGCTACTGATTGGTATAGTATTAGCTGAAGACACTCACAAAATGTCAGCTTGGGGAAAACTGTCTGAACACATGCATATTTGAGATCTGAGTATATCTGCTAATATAGATTAGCATCTTTTTAAAGAATGCAAAGGCTCACAGCAGTAAACGATCTTGAATAATCTGTCATATTAAAAAGGAAACAGCTCTTGTACCCTCTTTTCATCTGCACTTCAATCACCTTGAGTATCCTGTAAAGCCACTAAATCCTGTCACACTATTAAATGGGATATCAAGTACCTCTGTATATTTACAGTTTCTACTTCATCAGCCAACACATTCGTGTTTCATTTAACTTTACCTGCTATTTGCATTGAAGAGGAAATGCTACTGGCATTAGTCTGCCATCACTGACTTTTCACAAGTTTTACCTTGAATCTCAGGGTTCAGTATTGATTGTCTCACATTAATGATGACGACAAGGTCTTCCTTCCATGTTTCATTGCTTTTGTATTTCAAAGTGTTATCCTCTGATATCTGGAATTTCAGAGCTGCAATTCCACTGAACTGTTGGCAGTGTCATTTTATGAAATATAAACTCCTGTAATTCTACATATTGGACAATGGTGTTTTCTATGATAAATCAATGACAAGAAAAACCCACCATTTGGGCAGAAATTTTAATTTCATCTTGGAATATATTTAGTCCTCAACTTACAACAGTTTATTTAGTGTCCATTCAAAGTTACAATGGAACTGAAAAAAGTGACTTATATCTGTTTTTCATACTTATGACCATGGCAGCTTCTCCATTATCACGTGTTCAAAATTCAGATGCTTGGCAACTGACTCATATTTTTGACAGATGTGGTGCAGTGGTGGGATTCAAATTTTTTTAATACTGGTTCTGTGGGCGTAGCTTGGTGGGCGTGGCTTGGGCATGGCAGGGGAAGGATACCATAAAATCTCCATTCCCACTCCACTCCAGGAGGTTACTGCAAAATCCCCATTCCCTCCCAATCAGCTGGGACTCGGGAGGCAGAGAATAGATGGGGATGGGGCCAGTCAGAGATGGTATTTACCGGTTCTCCAAACTACTCAAAATTTCCACTACCGGTTCTCCAGAACTGGTCAGAACCTGCTGAATACCACCTCTGATGTGGTGTCCCATGATCATGTCATCAACTTTTGTAACCTTATGACAATTTTGTAACATTGACAAACAATGTCAATAGGGAAAGCATTCAACAACTATGTTACTAACTTAACAAATACAGTGATTCATTTAACAACTATTGCAAGAAAGGTCATGAAATGGAGCAATATTCAACTAACAAATGTCTCAGCAACATATATTTTGAGCTGAATTGTTGTCGTAAATCAAGGACTATCTGTACATAATAGGTAATTGTTTATGCTTTCTCATTTTTTTTAAATGCTTTATTTTGCAGATTAAAATATTTCTTGATTTAAACTCTTCACACCTAGCTATATTTCTCTTTTGTTTGTGTTACCTCCAATCGGACGCCCTTCGGGTCTTCATTTAAAACAAAGCAAAACTGAAGCCCTCTGTAAGGAAAGAAACATATTAATTATTGAGGTAGCTTCCTAGGACACTTTTCTGGAATTTTAGCTTGTAAGTGACATTATTTGATGGTGGGGAATGTACATATTTTGGGGGAACTGTAGGAGGTTATTAAAAAAAAAAACAAGGTTCTTGTTTGACACTTCCCTCCCCAGTATTCCTGATCTCTCTAAAATTTAACCCAGGAGTTTCAGAATTTATAGTCAATACAAGTAATGTATTAAACAGAGCTTGTCAATTATCTCCACATGAAATATTGATCTCCAGGGTAGAAAATCAAGGCTATGTTGGGTTTCTTTTCTTGATTAGAACATTTGGGACACATACAGAAGGCTGAGGTAATTTTTGCAGTCAGAAGTTGCTTTTGACATCTGAAAACATTACTCTGTTTGTGTGTGTGTTGGGGGAATGGGGGTGGGCAAGTCTTAAACTAGATCACTGAAAGACAGAGGAGAATGGAAGCATGTGACACTTACTCTGCATGAGTAAATTGGCTGCTGAAGGCCAGAGGCAGTAAAAATCAAGTCCAATGAGACTTTTCAGAGAACAGAGCAAGCAGAAATTGCCCTCCGGTTTTAAAAGTAGTCACTGCATTAGTTCCTCAATTTGAAGCTTCTCCGTTGCTGAAAGGAAAGCAATCATAGTCAACAAGCACTGGAGAAGCTGAAATCATTTAAGAATCATGTCAACTCCAATTTGTTTTATTCAATCTCTTCTCAACACAGCCAGATGTTTCTCATTCTAAAACCCGTTAATTTCAGTGCACAAATTTAGATTCCCTGATTCTTTTCTAATTATAAGGATGCTACATATCCCTCTATGAAGTTGTTAGGACAATTGCCTTCAGAATAGGAGGAAAGATTTTTCCTATTTACCAGCTGGAATTCTCGATACGATTAAAAAACAAATGTGCCTAAATGTAATTGAACTCACAGACTCACTGTCCTTGACTTTTAGGGGACCATTTTATTTTTTGTTAAGCTTATATTATTTATATTTATAAATATAAACAATATATAAATTTATATTTACCATGGTATACATTCAGAAATGCATTTAAGTGTGAAGAACGTCACTAATGTAAGAGTTTATATGTATATATAATAGTCTGCCTATAATAATACACATGTCCTTGCATCACTCCTAGAAAATTCAAAAGCATTTTTAATCACATAGAAGCTTTAACAAAACCGGACTGCAGAAAATCCAGTTATGGTAGAGGCAGTATTTCAATATATCACTATCCTGAAACATGAGGATTAGATTAGAAAATAGAGTCCTATGAAAAGATTTTGAAGACTCCTTAACGACATAAAATTGTGATAACCAATAGAAGAATCATGGGAATATATTAATAAAAGACTGGCCACATGCTAATATAAGTTTCTATTAATTATGTACAGATATGTTGTATAGTCTGGAAAAATTCATAAATGAATAGTACATTTCAGTCCAGGCAAGTTTGTCATACATATACAAAAACCAAATCTTCATGGAAAAATAGTTTTCATGAATAGCATACAATGACCAACTTTAAAGGGACAACACTATGACACCATCATTCTATTCAACTTTGTTTCTATTGTCCCTCTATCATATTTCTATTAAACTCAGCTGACACTCAGGTTTAATTCTAGCCAGCAAAAAGCCATTCACAGCTGTCAAAGTCTTGTTGCTACGCTGACTCTGCTCACATAATTTTCATGACTTTCATTTTTGCTTAACTTAGATACACATGGGGCTGGGGGAGGAAAGAGGGACACGGAGAGAAGGTGAGAGAGAGGTGGGAAGACAGGGAGAGAGAAGGGGAAGTGGGGGAGGGAGAGAGGGAGAGGGAGAAAGTAGGAGTGGGTTGGAGAGAGAGAGAGATGGTAGCCTCAATCTTCAACCATTCTATTGACCTACATTCCTTTCTTTTCCAAGAAATTCCTAAGGATTCAAATTCATTGACAAATAGATAGTTTTTCAATTTCTTTATCTTAATTCATTATCTAGGCATAGTTTGTGTTTCTCAGCGTAGAATGTATAATTTTTCTTTGGCTTACAGATTAATGCTGAATAACATTACACATCAAGAAATTGAATTAAAGGCAGCAACTTATTTTTTATCATTGCTTCTGTAGCAAAATAGCTTTGTTAATAATAATTTAAAAATAACTGTTAGAATTAAAATGGTTACAAGAAAATGATAGTGAAATATGGCTTTTAGAAGAAAAAATACATTATAAAAATATTATAATGCCATGGTTGAATTTTAGCAGAATTAATAACAAAAGGGCACATCAGGCAATTATAGTCAAGATTTTTCTATTTAATAAAAGTGATTTAGAGGGCAACATAAATGAGATATACCTTGGAAAAACAGATTTGACATACTGACTACGTTATTAAAGGCTCTCAAAAGCTTATAGTTTTATCGTGGCTACAAGAAAGGATCAAGTATTGAAATAACCTTGTTTTGTTTTCTTCTCTCAGTATATTGCAAATAAAATGCTAAAGTTCCTGGATTTATTCTAAACAATGTTCTCTAATTTTCAGTGCAGAATGCTATTCAGACCAGAAGATTGTTACCTTATGAGGTTTTCTCACAAACTGAATGGACACAGCTAATGGATCTTGCTTTTTCTAGCATCTGTTCTGGAGGATGAATAGGAGTTAGCCCAAACTGAGAAAGTTTTAACTTGAATATCATGAAATAAAAACAAATTTCTTCAGTTACTTCTTTGCCTTCTACCATTATAAAAAGAATCTTAGATGAGCTACCATTCATTTCTCATTATCGTAGCATTCTATCCAGCAGTTGCTTGTTACTCACTCACTTAAATTAAAATGTTACTGACAAATCTCGATGCCTAAATTCTAATCATATATATTATTATTGTTGTTGTTTGAGCAAACGGAGAAGGCTTTGCTCTTGGTACCTTGAGGTTAAAAAGGCAGTGACTTTGAACAAGGCTTTCTTGGTTGTGACTTCCATATTGTGGCAATTCATCTCTCGACGTTTCTCCAGGCAAATTTTTGTTCTTAATGTACATGGTGAAGCAGGACTACTACATAAGTACCCTTTCTCTGGTAGTATTCGTAAGACCATCCTGCCTAAGTGCATGTTAAGTCCCTCTGGTCTTTCTTTCAACAAAGGATTTACTATTTAGGGAACAAATGTCATCCTAAGTTATTTAAACAATACGTATGTACTCTTCTGCAATGCTGCATCAATTTCATTGTTATCATTGCCCTTCAGGAATTATTTGTCCATTGGGGAGGTTGCAATTTAAATAAAAGTTTAAAGCCCCAAATCCTCAATAATAATCATCTTTTCCCTACAGCCTTTTTAAAACCAACTTTTGTTGCTTTTATTTTCAGATGTGCTCATTCAATAAATTACCAGGCATTTAAACTTACCCTTGCCACATGAAAAGAAAGATATTCATAGTTAACTACTACTTCCTCCTGAATATTCACCAAGCCAGCATTTCCTCTTGGGGGAACTCTGCATGAAAAGGCTGCTGCTTTTGTATATCAAGCCAGAAAGCACCTGCTGTGCTGCTCGAAGCATGAGTCCTGACACCAGAGTTGTTTCCATGCATAGTCAATAAGTGATCAGGGCAGCAGTTCACTTGCAGGAGAAAAAATGTGGTGGGAGAGGGTCTCAGAGTGGCAGGCAGCTTTCTCCTTCATCCTCACATCAGAGTCAAAAAACACCACCACATCCTGAATGTGGGATTTTATTTATTCTTGCGGACCTTTTTTTTTTTAAGCTGCCTTTATTACTGTTCTAAATAACTCAAAGTGGCAAACACAGTTAGTATTCCTTTCTCCTGTTTTTGGATTCTTCCTTTAAAATTAAGAAATCCGTATAACATCTTGGTAAGGAATTATAAACCTTTTTCTGTTGATTGAGTCTTATCATTCTTAACCAGCAGCATATTGAGAAAACATGAGAAGGAAGGAATATTTTTTTTTGTAGCTCCAGCTCAGTAGAATCACATCTACTCGGTTCTGGGCTTTTTTCCTTTCTGACACCTAGCAAGCTCTAACTGCTAGGTGGGAGACCTAAATAGATCCATTTCTAGCTCGTTAGCTGTCATCAGTAGGCCACACCCATGTCTTATGTATCCTCCGTGTAAAGGTACAGTATCAATTTTCTTACTTCTTCGTAGGGTTTATGTGTGTTTTTCTTCTAGCCAGGTTTTCCCTACGTAGCCAAGGTTTTTTTTTGTAGCTCCAGCTCAGTAGAATCACATCTACTCGGTTCTGGGCTTTTTTCCTTTCTGACACCTAGCAAGCTCTAACTGCTAGGTGGGAGACCTAAATAGATCCAATAGATATATATATATACTGTATATAGTTTGTATTACTTTGGTAAAAGTGTCTCCTATTCAATTTACTTATATTTATTAGATTTTTATCCCGCCTTTATTAGCGTATTTTTTGGAATATAAGACGCACCAGAGTATAAAACGCACCTTAGTTTTTGGGAAGGAAAATAAAAAAAAAAGCTGATTGGTAGGTGGATCAGCCTCCGAATACCCCCAATCAGCTGTTCTCAGAGGTGAATTTTAGCAATAGGTTCCTTGGTTGTGAGCTCTGTGCCTTGCTTTTTTTTTTTTTTTTTTTTGCTTTTTTTTTGCCTCTGAAACTTCTTAAACTCCGTTTCATCCTCTTAAGCTCTGTTTGGGAGCTTCTTTTCTGAAGCTTCATTTCTGATACTTTTTTCAGCCTCTGAAACTTCCATTTGAGAAGCTGGGTGGGGCTACATTCGGACTATAAGATGCACCCAGATTTTCACCTTCTTTTTTTGGGCGGGGGGGAAAGGTTGTCTTATACTCTGAAAAATATGGTACCTCTCAGGTAATTCAGTTTAGGCTGTCAGGTCTGCATTGTTTCTAGTGTTTGTAGATTTCTCTGACATTATATGCCATACAGTAAATAAATAGGTAACTCAAGGTGGTAAATGTACCTCATGCTCCTTTCTCCTCCTATTTTCCCCACAACAACAACCTTGTGAGGGTTAGTTGGGCTAAAAACTAATGTTTTTAGCCCAACTAACGGGGGATTATGGGAGCGAGGGGGCGCTCCCATGTGACGCCTCTCCTGCGTGAGCTGCATTGGCTTCCGGTGGTCTTCTGGGTGCGCTTCAAGGTGTTGGTTACCACCTTTAAAGTGCTCCATGGCATAGGGCCTGGGTATTTGCGGGACTGCCTTCTGCCGCCAATAGCCTCCCACCGGCCAGTGGGAGTCCCACAGAGAGGGACTCCTCAGGGTGCTGTCAGCCAGGCAGTGTTGGCTGGCGACTCCCAGGGGGGGGGCCTTCTCTGTGGCAGCACCTGCCCTCTGGAACGACTTGCCCCCGGAGATATGCATGATACCAGATCTCCAGGCTTTTCGCCGTGCCCTAAAAACTTTTCTTTTCCACCAAGCAGGGCTGGCATAACACCCCCCCCTCCTTTTTGAGATGTTAGATTTTTATTGTCTATGGGTTTTAGTTGGGATGTTTTAAATTTTGGGCCAAAGCGTGTAATTCTTTTAACAAATTTAAAATTTTGTATTGGGATGTTTTTTAT